CCATTGATTGTTCTGGTGAAAATGGAAATCCAAAACTTCTGGATTGCACCAATTAGGGGGGTTGTAGATAATCCTGTTTTCTTAAAAAAAATCAGCATTGTTTTGCTTTAACAAATTGTGACCCACCAGCTATGGATGCTGTCCTACCTCTTTTTTTTCCTCTTCTTTTTGCAATCCCAGGCAGACAGCAAAACTGCTTCTTGATCCTTCACTAAGGCACAATAAAACAGGAGCACAGAACCTCTTTCAGCATGAAAGCCAATCCCATGTTGGAAATTCCATAGTGGAGGGAAGGGCAACCTTCCAAAAACTATTGGTAATCAAGTGAAATGGGATAGGACACTGGGCAGGAGCCCAGCCACCTGGGGAACCCTGGAAGACCAGTGTGGGACTCCAGGAGGGCTGGATTTGGTCCCCGTACACAAGGTTCTACACCCCTGGCCTAAAATAACCTGTCAGTACTAAGCAGCAGATTTCTGAGATACATGTAACACAGTCCCAGGGCCATTGATAGTGGAAGTGAGAAAGCAGTCCTTATGGCAAGGTTCCATTCAACACTTCTTTGCTCAGAAGAGTTTCCCTCAAAGTCATTTTCCTAAAAAGAGCCATCAGGGCCATGTCATATCATTTGTATGTGATGTGCAAGTTGCTCTAAAATAATATACAAGTTGAGAGGCAAAGGATATCAGTATATAAGACAGTCATGAGCTTGAAATGTTCCTCCAGAGTTCTCTACATACAGATCCACGCTTTCCCCCTCCGAATAGACTTTAATTAACACGCAGTGGGTAGAAGAGTAGCGAGAGTAGAGATGAGCATGCTAGCTCCACCCCCGTCCTCCTCAATCTACATGTGTTGAGGGACTCATGTCTGCAGAGGAGAGCTTTTTCTATTTGCCCAGGGTCCCCAAAATTGATTTTCCCAGGGTTTTGCATTGTGCCAGAAGTCAACATAGATAGAAAAGGATCCCACTGCAAAACAGAAATCCTCAGTATGTAGAGGTCAATGGGAATGGCAGTGGGGGAATCAGAGTTAGTGTGCTCACCCCCTTGAGTTAAACAGACCCTGAAATAGAAGGCCTGATAAGAAGAACACAAGAACCAAGATTGTTGGAAGCTCTCATCATTCTACATTAAATATGAGCAGAAAATGGATCTCCAAATACTGGGGACTTCAACTTCCAGAAGCTTCTGCTAGCCTGGACAATGGTCAAAAATTCTGGGAGTTATCCAAAGCATCTGGAGAACTACTTTCTGCCCTGTTCTAGTCAGCCATAAGCAACATGAGCTTATAGGAACATATGAGGTGTACAAATTGACAATTGGGTTGTAAGAATGTTGCTCTACAGCAGCTTTCTCCAACCTGATGCTCTCCAACTGTTTTGACAACTCCCATCAGTTTCAGCCAACACAGCTAATGGTCTGGAGCAATAGATTTTGTAGTCTCAAGCATCTGGATTGCCCCAGGGAAAGCTTCTTCTAAAGCACGTTTATGGATAAAAAGTGAGGCAACAGCCTGCTACAAAAACAACACCTCACGCAGATGACACCCCTCCCCACTTCACAAAGAAAGAGCTCCCCCAGTAGGATACAGCTACTAAGAGGATAATAGCTTGATGAGACTTAGGAAGCCAACAGTTAGGGAAAGGCTTGGCAGAAAGTCCCACATATGGTCCCTGTAATGTGCAGTTTATTACATGGGACCAATAATACAGACTCTATTAAATTTCCTGAAGCTTCTGCCAATGGCAGCAGTGTTTGAAAAAGAGATTAATAGCTATCTGCCTCTTATTCAGGTTTTTAATCGTATTAATATAAATGTAAATTAGTTCTGAGATGCGCCTGTACGAGTAATAACAGCATAGGCAAAGAGCATTAACAGAGAGTCTTTATGCAGTAATACAATGCCAAGAAATGTGTGTGGGGGGGGGTGTGAGAGGAAGCGGCTACCATACAGCAACCTTAGGGATATTATTACATTTTTCTCCATCTGCAGTAATGATCTGGTGTTGCTTTTGTAGCTCAAAAGAACTCCAGTACCCTTGAGTGACCAAGCAATGTTGTCTAGGCAACTCCTTCATATTCTGTGGTTAATATATATTCAAGTGCCACAACAGAAGAACAGTTTTGCAGTCCTATATGTTTGCCTAGCATTCCCCAAATTGTTGATAATGAAACATGGGGGGACAGGAGAAGGTATTTGCATTAAAAGTTGAAGGCACACTGCACTATTAACTACCAAAAATAACATCTGTACTCTAAAAATCTCAGAGGATGTTCCACTTTTCTGATCTTGACCAAAATTAGCAAGACTCAGGGCTAATTCACACATTCTCTCTCCACATGGCTGATTATCTTCTAGCCTAAAGTACATTGTGAACATAGTATGAGTGTGGTTTGTCACAAACAAAAATTGTAATACTGATGCCAATGCAAACTTTCCTAAGGTGATCTGAAGAGCAATATACAGAAATTGCTCAAAACAAATAATTCAGATGATTCATTTACTGCAGGCTAGTAACTGAAGCTGGGAAGAAAAAAAATAGGCTCATGCAGAACTATTGTGTGCTATGTCCATACCAAAAATGTGGGAAGTGGTGAAACTGGGGGGAAGATCCCATGCAATGTTCTATTTTAATTCTGTGTGAAAATTTTTTTTAACTGGTCTGCTCTTTCTTACTGTGTTTAAGTGGAAAGACATGGAAGTTTGACACTGGAACAAAAAGGTCCAGTCCATCTTTGGCATGGTGTTACACAGAAGATGCAAGGAATCCATCTCAACAGTGGTAGCATTATCCCTGGGATTGCTTTGGAGGGTCCAAAGCCTCAGAGGTGATGCTAAAAACTGGCATCTCAGCCTCGGAGGCAGAAGCCATGAAGTCACCACCTAGACCCCAGAAACAGATGCCCTATGAGTCAGTCTAGCCCAGTGGCCAAACAAAAGAATGCTCACTGGATTGGTAATACTGTGCTGTCTGGCCTTTGGGTCCTTGCTGACTTTACTCACTTGGATTTGCCCTTAATTTTCCTCAGAACCAAGCCTGAATCAACCAAAGCAGGTCATGCACAACACACAGGGGCATCTTTGAGGATAAGGAGAGGCAGGAAGGCTACTGTCACATTCTAGTGAAATTCCTTAGATCAGTCAGGAGATGCAGCAAAAGGGTTTCTATTCTCAAGAAGCAACTTGGTGCCCTCCAGATGTTTTGGACTGCAAATTCCCATCAGCCCCAATCAGCATGACAAATGGTCAGAAATTATGCAAGTTAGTTCCTGACCACAGTACTGTTGGTATAGGTTGTTGAATCAGACACTGATTCAGAAGAATAGAAGGAAGAACCAGAATCTTGAGCTCAGTTGTCAAAGCCAGCAGACTATCAGATAAGCCATGCAGTCACTGAGAACATGACAGTTTTAAATTCTGAGGGGAAAGTTTACTGAACCTGCTGATATGGAACTGGGCAGACCCAACATCATTAACCCAATCATACTGTGTCAGGGTAAGAGAGCGAACCAAATGAGAAGCATAAGGTGCACCATGTTTGTTCTATTGTAAGACTGTCCTGAGACCACATGGTAGTGGACAGTATGCAAAATTTTTAAATAAATAAAGTGACTGGCCCATAAGCAAGAGCATCCACCTTGAAGGTGGGGTTAGTTCTTCTCACTTTGAAAGAGAGAAGTATTGTTTAGAATCAACTTTTTATCATCAGGTTGCATTTCTCTGATAGCCAGTATTCTAATTTCACTTGTTTCTTTTGTGTCCTGGTCTGCTTGGAAGAAGGGGAAAAAGTCTGGCCCTGACAGCTATAAAACAAATTCCACCACACAACTGCATTGTTGTTGCCATGTAAGTCCCTGCTGCCAGTGGCTACAATTGCAACAACAGGATAAAACAATGACAAGCATGATATCAACATAGATTACAACTGACTATCTCTATTTCTCCCATCTCCTGTCCTGTCAAACTTGGGCCACAGGCAGTGGTCAAAAGTGTGATTAAACGCCTAAGGAGCCCCAGAAGCACACCAGAGCCACTAGACTGGGTTGCTCAGGCAAGCTCACAGCCCAGACAGAAGCCTTGCATAGTGTTCCAACCAGATGTGCCCACTGCCCAGCTTGGATGCAGGAAGGACCTGCAAGAAGGTGCCAATGGGGCATACTGGCTAGGCTGCTAGACTAGGAGTGGGGGGGGGCGCAAGTTCTAGCCCCCACTCAACCATGAATTCACTGGGAGACCATGCATGACTCACTGACTTTCAGTCTAACCTACCTCACAGGAATGTTGAGAGAATAAAGGAAGAGGAGAAGGAGGACCATGCATGCTGCCTTAGACTCCTTGGGGGGGGGGGGGGGGAGGCAAGATACAAGGGAACAAAGGCTCCTAGCTGAATTTCCAATGGCTCGCACCAGACCAGGCAGCCACACACAGAGCTGAAGGTCTTGCGTTACAGCACAGGCTGGAACTGACAGGTCAACAGCGCAACCCCATTTTTGAAGTCTTGAATCATGTATCCATACACACCCCACCTGACACTTTCTTTGGTTTTTTGCAACCTGCTTGAGAAGGGAAGAGATGGAACACTTCACAGCAAGTACAAGCAATAAAACAGAATCATTAAAGGCATCCCTTAGTTAAAACCAAGTCAAGCAACCGCTAGAGATCTGAAGTCAGGACAACAGTCTATAGCTATTTATTTGGACTGTAACCATTAATTCTTAAACCTCATTCATACGGAGTACAATCCAAACTTAACTCATTATGAAGGATCCACATAATTTACAGATCACAAAAGTGTGAAACATAAAACATGACAACTAGATTTGCCCAAGGGTTTAAGGAAGTATCCAAAATTAATAGCAAGTGTTTAGTTGGAGTCAAAGGAAGGTCCCACAGTTGCGCCCAAATGATAAGACTATCAAGAAGTCATAATGACTATTTCAAAACTCCCCATGTAAAAGTGCACTAAGATGTACCAATACAAAGAATTAAGTACTTACTTGATCAATTTCCATCAACTTAGGGTAGGCACCAGGCCATTCTATCGCCACTTTTACGATATCCGCGGGAGGCGGCATTTTGAGCTGCACTGCTCTTCAAAGCTAGTGAAACTGAACCCTGTGCACGGCCGTCTCTCTGTCTCTCTCTCTCTCATTCACAGCTGGAGGGAGAGAAGGGAAAAGTACCATTGAAAACAAATTCTGAAACAAACATATCTATTTGCGTGACTCAGAAGGTACACAAAAGGTGTGCAGGTTTGGGAAAGATTACACACATGCAAACACTAAATGCTTAAAATAATGAGTACTAAATCTCATAGCATGCAACTAGCCAATCTGCCTAAAAGATGGCTGAAGCACCACAATGTACTGTGAACACCCATGCATTAGCTTTTAAACACAGAAACTATTTGAAATTGAAAAATCTGGTATCACTGCAGAAAGGCTGAAAGAGATGGAACATTACATTCCAGCTTTTTGGAGAGCTAAAATAACCTGCTAGATCTTCTGTTCTACCATCTTTCAAGAAGGATGAGTATCCATGAAGTTATGACCAAAAAAAAGGTTTTCTCTTTAACTACAGCAATGATCTCCTGTGTGTTCACAAATAGATCATTGCACTATAGCAACCAGGGTGTCAGGAGGAACGCAAAAAGAACAGTACTTTTTACATACACACACACCAGACAAAATGTAGTATATCAACCTTAGTGTTGGAAGGAAGATGTGCACACAAATCCCTTTTCTGAAATAGGGATTTGGAAATATTTTGTTTGCTACAAATGGCACACTGGGTATTGCAGTCTTCTCAAATAATTTCATATAACTATTTTGCCATGCAAGCTCATTGATACCAAGGGTAAGAATTTTGCTTTTAAAAGGGCAGATACATGAGACCAGGACTGGACAATATAAAAGTTCTTGAAGGGTCAGATTTTATTGGGTGAAAAGTTTCTAACCTAATGACAATTGAGGCTTGAATGAAGAAGGCAGTAAGCATAACAGACTGAAATCAAATTATATTAGACCCATCTGTGTTTGGATTTCAAGTCTCAGAACATTAAAGAATTGTGATTTTCAATGTTTGGGGTTTGGTAATTCAAATGACAAATGTCCATATATAAGATGATGGGAGGAAGACACAGCAGTGGGGAACCTCCTCAGCCCAGTGAATTTCAGAGAAGCATTCAGAAGCTGCATGCCAGTGGCGGGTTTGACCAAAAGCAAAGGGAAGAATGAAAAGTCAGAGTGGGTGCAGCCAAACATTTTTAAAAGTATTGCACATTAAAGCTCTTCTCAGCAGTAACTAAATCTTGGGAGAGGCATGCTATCCTTTTAGAAGGGGGGAAATGCATAGATACCCCACTCCATCCAGGGCTTTGTATCCACTGTTTTCATACATACTATACCATCTATGCTCAAAGACAATTCTTTCCTTTTGTGTTCTTGCTGGTAAAGCTGCATGCTGCAGGCTCATGTCAGTGACCCGTGCTGGGTGCAGAAGATGTGAAGTCTGGATCTTCCTTTCACGCCTGGGGAGGGTAAAGGGGCATCCATGTCCAGCAGGGAAATATAACTAGGGTCAGTTGGGGAAGAACTTTACTTTGGAGGCTTCTCTTTTTTTTTCTTTCACTTCCTTTCCCTCTATGGTGATGTTGATTTTCTGCAGTAATTGTTCAAATTAATAGGCTTTATAGCAGTTTGTAAGTATGGGATGTTCGTAACTTGGACATGTGTACTTCGGGGACTGCCTATACTAAACAGACAGGGTGACATGTTCCAAGTGTTGGCTAACCTGGTGAGGAAGAACCTCATAAAAGCACTGACCAGGATTGTGGGACACCACACAGGTATCCCATGACAGATACCTCATTCCTCAACATGCTGATAAGACTGGCTGAGCAGGGGATAATCAACATATGGCTTTGGGTGATCAGCATGTGCAACTGCTTGTCACTTGCAAAAGCATATGATCATACAGGCTGCAAAGGAAGCAGGAAGCAACAGAAAGAGCAACCCCACATGCAACAAGGCTTCCATCTCTGGCCCCCAACAAACACAAATGTATTTTTTGCCTTCTTTCTTGCCCCTCCCTTTTGCCATTTTTTCTTATGTTGCCACTGAATTAAGATTATGTTGCCAATGAATTAAGAAATGCAACCTCTTCTTATTCATCTAGGTCATGAGGTGTGTGTGTGGGGGGGTGATATTTTGTGGCTTTCCAGATAATTTGGCCTTCGAGTCCCATCATCCATCACCCTTGGCTATTCTCAATGAGAGAGGCAAGTCAAAAGCACACGAGTCTGAGTTTGCTGGCCCTTGTGAGTTACATCAGCTAGATCTTTTCTGAGGCCTGAAATCAACTCATCTTATTTTCACTGTTCACACAATAGCTCTGTTTTCTCCCTTCCGGCATTTTTTTTTAAAGCTCCATCCCATTGCCATCAGGAAAAGTGCGGAGATATACAAATGACATACAGAGTTGCCATCCTCATCTCTGTCTCTCACTCTCCTCCGCATTTCTCATATAAATACAGACGAGAATAGAATTCTGTTCACACTCTGCTGGCTTCCTCTACAGCAATCAGCGCAGAAGCGCTACGTCTTAAGTTAGTCACTGAAATCGGCATATGACTGAGCAACAGACAAGTTGTGCTTAGAATCAGGCATTCGGAAGATTGCATCAGCACAGGGTTTAATATGTCAAGATCTTTTTGCCAGAATGAAAATTAAACCATCCTTTTTTTTCTTTCTATAAAAAATGTTCTCTTTTTATAGACTACCACCATAACAGCAAAATTACTCTTACATTCTCTCTCCCTATATATATATATATATCATTAAAAGACTGGGAAGTCTGACATGTTCAACATGTGTTCAATTGACAACTACCCAAGATATGCAGTATTTGTAATTTGGGATGAGACTTAGGCAACTGCAGAAGTATGCATTACACGTCATCCTGAAGTTTGGCAAAGGTCAGACATTTCAAGCAAGAAAAAGTTTTTAAGACCAAGTTAAATTACCCCATTATAGCCAAGCTCTGGAACTCAGTAAGTCAGGACATGGTGTATTCCCTTGGAACACCATGGTGAATATCTGCACAATGCAGCATTTTGGGAAGACACCCTGCTGCGCTGTAGTAATTAACTTGCAAGCTGGAAGAGACAGGACTATCCCTGATGCAAACTGTTAATGCAAAGTGCATTCGCTCTCAAATTTACCCAAGGCTCTGGGAGATTAATTCAATACCTGAGTAGTGCCATTAACATATGGATTGTCATTGTTTTATTTTGGTGGGTTCACCTGTACACTCAGCCACTCAACAATTGCTTTTGTTAAGGAATTACTTCAATTGAAATTCATGCAGTTATTTTGTCTGCAAGGAAAAGTTAACAGCATGCATGCAACAACTATGCTTATTTTGCATTTGGGTAGATATTGCTAAGGCTGTGAGCTATTTCCCCAAGTTTTAACATGCAAGCATTGGGATTGCCTCCCCTCCCCAACCTAAAACATCAGGTACCAACACTGAGAAGACCTGTAGTAGTTTGAATATTCACCCACATATTAACCTTGTTTATATTTAGCAGCATTAGTTGTAAAATCTGCTGCTACAAACACCGCATCCATATATTATTAGTGTGATATCTGAAACTGGACAGTGTTGGGAAAATTTGGGTAAATCCTGTCTGAAAAGCATTACTCCTGTGTGCCTTTGCATTGTGGGATCAAATCCTGTCTTCCTTCTCAAAACCAAGCTGTCACTGTTTAAAATGGCATTTCCCCC